ATCGAAGTCGCAAGAGTATTTCAATTAAGAAATTTTATATCCCATGAAGTCTTCGATGATTTACTGACTTTCCTAAAACTTAAACTCAGTTAATTAATATTTTCCCTCACGAATGCTTCTCAAGCTCTTCCAAATTTGAGGGCTTGTAAATTTTGAGAGCATAAAACCGGGCATTGAAAAGTCAATCTTTTTATAGTTATGTGCAAATAGAACCAACCAATTTTTATCGACATTTGTTTTTCTTTTTGATTAATCAGAGTTTTAATTGAAAAAACTATATTATTTAAAAAATTGGGAGATTTTCTTACGTTTTCTGGCGGTGACATTTTTGATGACGTGCAGGGTAGGAACGCTGGGCTGCATCAGCAGACTTGACTACCGGAACTTCTGGCTCGGTAGGTGCCAACTTTCTTAACTACGCCAAACTCAATTTCAGCAAAGTTTTAGTCGTCATGCATAACTATGCAATTCGGAGGACATTAAATTGGATTTTGACACTTTCAAAAAGTTGTTCTCTATCGAAGCTTTCCCTTCTCTCGACTGTTATTCATACAGGAATTTCTGGCTCGGTAGGTGCCAACTTTATCAACTTCATCAAACTCAATTTCAGCAAACTTTCAGTCGTCATGCATAGCTATACAATTCAAGGGATATTGAATTGGATTTTGATACTTTCAAAAGTTGTTCTCTATGTCGAAGCTTTCCCTTCTCTCGACCGGTATTCATACTGCCGTTTATATTCTTTGTATGCTCTTGTTTATACACATATTCATAGTTTTCTCCATTCCACGGTTTAAATGCTGTTCATGTCACTCTACATAACATATATATCCCACTGTACCAATATAATTTCACTTGAACATTTCTGAAGATCAAATTCAATTTTTTTATCTTTTTATTATTTTATTAATTTATTTATTTTGTAAGCAGGCTAGTACTTTGATACGAGTGATCGACTTAGAAATTCTATAATACAAAATTTGTAGTTTGTTATTATGCATGGATAGCTAGAAGTGGAAATATATATTATATGTGTGTACATATGTCTACGCCCGCCAGGCCGGGTACAATTATTCTTCATAAGATTTCCATTTGATCGACGTGGGTCTCAGCAATCATGTATGCTGGGGCAAAGAACTCCCCCATGTGTTACACAAATTAGAGCGGGCTTTTGAAAAAATAGCTTAAAAGACTATCTTAATGCATTATTAAATCTTTAAAGTCGTCCAGCTAGCACGCTTCAAATGACTAACGCATATGTAGAACCAATTGTTTTTCATATCTTGCGTTCTCTTCCGTACGCACACAGTAGATAAATTCCTTCAAATTTTAAAAGCTGCGAGTAATATAACTCGATCTTGCCTTCGCTCAAGCAATCTCAACTCAAGCTCGTCACGCTTTCTCAAGTCGTAAGTAAGCTGTGGTCGTAAACCGGAAATTTAACTCGAGGCAAAGTAAACTTCTCGAGCCCAAACTTTGAATTGCGTAGCTATCGTTGGTTGGAAGGAAAAAACTGAATTCGAAGAAAATATTTAGAGCTGCACGGGTTTCGGTGAAGTGTGTGGAGTACAAAATTGCGACAATATAGATGCAACTTGTTGGTTTCAGTAGATGGAACCTGTTAATGTATGACAGCTAAAGACTAACGTAGCTGATGCCATTTATAACTAATATAAAATATTGATGTTATGGATGGTCTTTAGTGACGCCTGAGCTACAAAGCCTTGTGCTCTCATCTGCTGAGTTCTGAGGTCTACTATACAGCGGACGTCATTGTAATTTCCCACTCCCAAATCTACAATTTATTAAATTTATTTTTTCGTCGATTATACTTTCCATGATTTCTTATTACGTCCATCAATTTTTCCATAATCTCCCATCATCTCAAACAAAGTAGTTCCATAATTAGCTATTTCTCCTCAGAAAAACGAATCGACAAATTGCTTCATTTATCTATCATTAATTATTTCCATAAATCAACTTTCAACTATTTCCAGATTTTAAATATTTTGTAATATCCAATTATTTATAAATATCAAGCATTTAATAGTTTTGAAATTTAATATTTGTCTTTTACTTTCTGGACAAGAGTTATACAGCACGACGCCATGCGGGGACCCCGGGCAACCCGCCATAGGGGTGTGCTCGCTCTCCCCCACCTGTACGGCCATGGGGGGGCAGGTCATGGGCACCTATAGCTGCCGTACCGGCGTCTGCTGCAGACGTGAGATTAAACTATCATCAATGCATTGCTATCAAAATAATCTCAATTCATTACAAGAATTCTAAATGCAAAATTATTTCAATGCAAGTTACTTTACCTAGACTTATGACTATATAAGTGCACGAGTTGAGAGAAAATCACTTATTGCACACTACTAGCATGCAGGCGTGAGACTAAACCATTATCAATGCATTACTATTAAAATTATCTCAATTCATTACAAGAATTCTCAATGAAAAATTATTTCAATGCAAGTTATATTAGCTAAACTTATGACTGTATAAGGACACAACTTGAGAGACAATTATTTATTTTACACTCGGAGCAAAGAGCACTCGCTGCCTATCCCGTACACAAAATGAGAATAAATAATTGTTATAATTATTGCGTCAGACAGAAGTAAACGGGCGGAACTATCAAAGATATTTGAGAGTTCACCACTCCTTCAGACAATACGTACCTGACGGTTTTTCATGCTAAACATAGCAATCATAACACAATCACAACACAATCACAACACAATCACAACACAATACCAACGCAATCAAAACACAATACCAACACAATCAAAACACAATACCAACGCGATCAAAACACAATACCAACACAATCAAAACACAATCACAACAGAATACCAACAAAATCACCAAACACAATCACAACGCAATCGCAACACAATCACAACACAATCGCAACACAATCACAACACAATCGCAACACAATCACAACACAATCGCAACACAATCACAACGCAATCGCAACACAATCACAACGCAATCGCAACACAATCACAACACAATCACAACACAATCACAACGCAATCGCAACACAATCACAACACAATCGCAACACAATCACAACACAATCGCAACACAATCACAACACAATCACAACACAATCGCAACACAATCACAACATAATCACAACACAATCGCAAAACAATCACAACACAATCGCAACACAATCGCAAGACAATCACAACACAATCACAACACAATCGCAACACAATCACAACACAATCGCAACACAATCACAACACAATCACGACACAATCACAGACAAGGAATGAATCGGCCGCTAAGTTCACTAACGACGCTCCTTTGTAATTGGGCCGCTACGTGTACATAGACCGATACATGTTCTTATATTGACACGAATGAAGAGAATTTGTACAAATAGCGATGCACTTCTTGCCATTGTGTGGGCCGTCCTGACCCAGTTTTACCCAGACGAGGGTTATATCTGTGCTACGCGCAGAAAGTGTGTCACTATTTATACAACATGGAAAATAAATTTTACGAGCGTCTGCCGCTACGCGTACAAGCGAATTTTGATAGTATACGGTCTTGTAACGCGTTGATATCTAACGAGCGCGTTGATATGTAACGAGCGCGTTGATATCTAACGAGCGCGTTGATATGTAACGAGCGCGTTGATATCTAACGAGCGCGTTCATCTCTAACGAGCACGTTGATATCTAATTAACGAGCGCGTTGACCTCTAACGAGCGCGTTTTACACAGCGCGTGCTGAGTGCGACGCGACGAGTGCGGCGGTGAACCTGCTGTGGCAGAGCAAAGACTACCTCACATCTTCCGTGTACCGAGCCTCAGCCTGCACTCTACACGTCGTGCCGTCACCTGACACCTGCTACATCAGGTGACTGCATCAGGTGACTTTATCAGGTCACTTCATCAGGTCACTGCATCAGTTGACTGCATCAGATATTATTGCAGGTGACTGCATCAGGTGACTTCATCAGGTGACTTCATCAGGTGACTGCATCAGGTGACTCCAACAGGTGAAAGAGTTAACGACCTCAGGTATCAGAGCGGCTTCTATCTCCCTTGTGTGACCAGGTGGACTGTTCAATAACAAAAGCGAAACAAATTACGTACTAAGACCCAAGAAAACATCTACCCATTTTGTCAACAGCGTCAGGCAGCTACTTCAGAAAATGTTTTACTGAATTAGTTATCAGGGAGCTATTTCATGAAATACTCTTATGAAATATTTAGCAGGCAGTTCTTCTATGATATCAAAAGTGGTCATTATTTATATCAAGATTGAGTGCTGACGACAATAATTCATTTTCAGGATTGATTTCACGGATATGGATTTGCAATCGAGTAAAGTGGACCAATGCGAATATAATTACCTGTACATCAACAATCAATACCACGGAGACAGCCATAAAATTTGTGGCACTCTTAACCATAAAACAAGTGAGTGAAATTTGTGTCAGTGTGTCATCAAGGAGAAACGTATTCTCAGTCAGTGTTCGTTCACAACAAAATCTATTGATAAGGACTGATAAATGTTTTATTATAACGTTTAATTTATAATAACTCAGCGAATTTGAGTTCAAGCATTTAAACTGCAAGATTTCAAGACACTCTAATTTTAAAATTCTGATTCTGCTTAGTTACAAATTAAGCCCAATACCCACATTAATCCTTACTCATATATTCGTGGTCAGCGTTCGCTAAAGTTGGTCACACCAGGATGGGTCTCCCCTTACCTATCGAGGTTAAACTTCACCTGCACCACATCCCGCACAAGTACAGCGTGTCGTTCAACCACGTCAAGTGCACCAGCATCAGAACCTTCAAGACCTACCGACAACAGCGACGTAAGTCAAATGAGTTCTAGTGCTATACTAAATGACTAAATGACTAAATGACCAAATGACTAAATGACTAAATGACTAAATGACTAAATGACTAAATGACTAAATGACTAAATGACTAAATGACTAAATGACTAAATGACCTGAAGTGATCGAGAACCCTGAAGTGATCGAGAACCCTGAAGTGATCGAGAACCCTGAAATGATCGAGAACCCTGAAGTGATCGAGAACCCTGAGGTGGTCAGGTACCTCGAGATGATCGAGAACCTCAATTTAGGCACCGAGGAAGTCGGGCGGCAGAGCAAACAGCTCAGCTATCCCAACAGACGGAAGCACGCCAGCGGAGATCGAAAAATCATCGATTATCTGGTGAGAGAAACGAGTTCACTTAAATTTTGAACATTTTTCTATTTCACCAGCACGTTGGTTGAATCTGGTTGTATTGCGTTGTGAAATAATACTTCTCGTGAACGTACTCTTCACTTTATACTCATGTATATTGTATAATATACCCAACTAAATATACATTTTTAACCTTATTTTCTGAAGAGATTTATCAATCGGCGAGCTTAGTAATTTCTTTAACTTATTCTTTTAAGCACTTATTCACACATATTTTCTAATGCAAGTTATCGAAAATTAATCACTTCTCCATTTATTCAAATAAACTTGAATTATCAATACAATGCCGTATAGAGATCAGTCACATGGAAGAGGCTCTTTTCGCTGTGACGTAATGTTTGTACTAAAGTGCAAGTCACAATACATGCCCATCATTTTTAAGCCATTACAATTATTATAATTCCATCAATAAATCAGCAAATTTAATTATTCAATTGCATTAATTATCTTTATAAACTCTATACTGTACGTCCACTAAACCTACTAGCATCGTAAGACTGACGATCTCAACCTTGTTCAAACACCATACCATTTAATTATTGTCTTATCTAAACTTAATCTTAATCTCGACTGTTGCCAACACATAAATTTATTTATAACCCTATCTAAATTTAATTTTAACTTTTTTGTGCTGCAGGGCCGCATGTTCGCCGTATCGTACACCAAAGAACCGCTCATCAGGAGCTGTCCGGTGACGTTCATCGCCCAAGATATCGTCATCGGTTCGTCTAGCTGCGCTCTCAGGCTCGGGTAAACTGTGGTGCTGCAGTTGCTTCATTTTTATATCTATTATATATCATTTATATTTTTATTCCTTGCATATTAATTGAATTTATATTTACAATATATTATTCATATTTATAATTAGAAATGACAAGGGTGTTATTTCTTGATTAAATTTTATGAATTTTCGGAAATTAGTATACATTCTTCGGATTTATCTCTACACAGATTATACAATAATCTTAAAGGTAGCTCCTTGTCGATGAGCCATGAAAATTAAGTATTACTATTTAAAATTTTATATTTTTTAATATAGCAAAGGAAAAGCCAATCATGAACTCCGAGATGACATTTACTAGTTTATAAATTGTGTAACGTTCCCGCGCCGCACTTCCAACAGCGGTCCTGGCACAAGCAAGGGGCTCATGGTGGTACATGGTTACCCTCACGACGAAAACATCGAGCCAAACCCTCGCACGGTAGGGGACTTGGCACGATATGTGTCCAGTCACGGTGTGGTCGTGAAGAAGACAATCTTCCACCCGATGTACAACCACGACACACACGAGCACGACATTGCCATATACTTCCTTAACAAGACCGTACCCACTGCCGTGCCTCTCAAGCTTCCAGTGCCAATAGGTAATTGGGTTTGCATGTCGTTTTTATTTCCATATTAATTAATCTCACAGAACTACGGTATTTGCTGATCGGAACATAGTTTTAATTGAGAACGTGCACTTTTCATATTGTTATATCTTGAATCTCATTTTTTTACTTATTATATCGCCTTAAACTTCGTGCAGGAGGGTACAGCTCAAAATTTCAACAATGTTCGGCATTGCTTTTCAAATATAAAATTAACTGTCAAAGTCTTCCTTTTGAATAAAAATATCATGAATAAACTGCCGAATGGTTCCACTTCAGACGACTTCGTGGGTCTGAAAGTGTTCATGGCGAGGTATCGTTACTACGACGTGTCCGACGACGTGACAATTCTCATAGACCCTGAGGAACTCGTCACTAAAGTCGTGCCAAACTCAGAATGTTCGAGGTCCTCACTGGCGGGTGTGGCTGCGGTCACGTCAAACGATACACTCTGTGTCGCGCCTACCGAGCGGGAGCTGCCCCCATGCTATGTAAGTTTTGCTGCAAACAATTCTGTGTTAATATTAACATTTCAAATTATAATGCTAAGTTAATCGAAATTGTATTACCTATATTAGCGTTAGATTGATCTGGTCGAACATACGCTTACGTGGCGTCGCCACGGGACTAAAGCGTTGGGTTCCGATAACCGACTAATTGTGTAAATAAGAGCTAATGTCTTATAGTATCCTGATAATGAACTTGAAGCATGCAGGTCATTGATTGATGAATAATTTAAACAAGAACTCACGTCTTATTGTTTACTGATAATGAACTTAAAGCAGGCCTGTTAGAATCACATGTAACATGTTCTTCATTTATCTAAAGAACTTACGTCGAATTTTTTATTGATAATGAACTTAAAGCAGACCTGTTAGAATCACATGCAGCATATTTTTTTTTAATCTAATCTATGGTTCATGGTACAGGGTGAGGTAGGGACACCAATCGTGCACATCGGAGGTTCAGGTGCCATCACCATGCTGGGTCTGATGATGGGTGGTTACCATCACTGTGCCGGTAAACACTCCTACGCTGAGCCTGCCATTAAAATAATCAATTATCTAGACTTTATAGACGTGGCCACGTCTCCTGTCGAGATCGTCGACTCTTATTCTACGGCGGGATCAGGGGCTTGGTACACGCGGCTCCTGGGGTGACAGTTGGGCGTCTTTTTCCAGACGAATTCTCATCTATTCGTAGGCCAGAGATTCATGTCCTTGTAAATACGCAGCAATCGAAGACGATGGCAATAAAAAAGATCAACAGGAATGAAGGCTCGGTTTGCAATGCTTGGAGGGCGATACTATCTTTTCAGATTGTCAAAAGTCATAGAAGCTCTACCATATGACCCTTTATACAGTGCAAAATTCTTTTGAAAATTTCTTGACGAAGCTTTGAGGATGAGAATGTACCTATACCCAAGCTTAGGCCTCGTTGATTAAACTTTGTCGTATTAGGTAATTATAAATTGTGCGTCGATAATTGATGGCCTTACAATTCACAAGTCTATATAATATAGATGAATTGAAAAACATTATAGTATTTATAAAATGCAGTCATTCAAACTTCAACAACACCAGTATATCTAAAATATAATAGTGGCAAAAAATGCATGCACTAACTAGCCGATAATTAATTTGTCTTTCAAAATTAACAGATCGATACCCTCGATAGCATTCATAGATATAAGTTTACAGTTTCCAATTTAAAGTTTAGTCTACTTACCCAGTAACCGGGGACAAATATATCGGTATTTTACCTTATTTATTGGTCAGGGGACAGGAGCGTGACAAGAACCCGGTGGGCGGAAGCGAAGGCTATATAAGGGCTAGTAACCTAAGTAAGGCGGGGGCTAGTAAGGCCCCCGCATGCATCAGTTGAGGCAGGTTTGAAATAAACATGACGAGTTGCTGTGATCGCGTTGACCGTATGCACCCCGCCAAACTTTTGATTAACGCAAAGCTGCTTTTCAAATTCATCTAAATTAGTTTTGATATCTTTTGTTGATTAGAAATCCTGATTTCGATACAAAAAAAAATAACTTGCAAGGGCTTTCTTTAAGATCCTCGACTATTGATGGACGCCTTGAGAGGCTGGAATTAGTAAATTCGCGTGTACAATTCCATTGCTCCTGATCAGGGTCGTTTCAAAATAGGCTCAGTTAATCACTATTATGATTAATTTCATACAATCGTATCGTAGTTAAAGGTAGCAAAGCAAGTCAAACGTAAAGAAAAGTTATTGAAACGAGGAGTGAATTGAATTTAAACTTGAAATCTTGAATGCTTGTTTTCTTGTGGCCGCGGGACGGATTCATTTCAACAAAAGTAAAAGCCAAGCGAAAATAAATGGCTGGAACTGCGTCAACGGAAGTGCAGCGGCAACAGGCAAGTCGAAGCGGCTTTCAAATTCAAATAAGGTTATAGTAAACTAAATTTATTCACTCGAGATCAAATTGTCACTCAGTGTGCTAAAAATAGGTGTTGCTATATACGGCGGTGTGTCAGTGGGAACTTTTCTAATTCCGGAAACCCGGCCCTGACCTAAACTACCCAACATTAAACTTACCCTAGATTAAACTAAAACTATAATCTTATGCTTGCGAAATAATGTTCAAGGAATGAACAAATTTAAGCAGCTGTGGAAAATTTCCCACACCATTGTGTACAATATCCAGCAGTAACAAATATGTACGCATTAAAATCAGTATAGTAAACAGTATCCGGGATAGGCAATACAACAATATCCTACAATGGCAAAAATGTGCTGATAACCGTTATTAATTTATTAATTGAACACAACGTCTTCGTTCGGAACGTTTCTGCACTGATGTACAATTAATTGTGCTCATGCAGGCGGGCATCTGCCAGAAGTGAAATACCGGCCACAGATCTTTTATTTATTGTTTAATTACCATAATTCATAATTATACTTTTATTATTTATAACTCAATACTATCTAAAATGCACTACTTTCTTGTATCACTCATCCATATAGAGCCCAACTGTTTACTCCTGCTACGAGATTTGTTAATGTTGAAATTCGTTGAAACGATGCGATTCAACTCTATGACGCCAGAAAAAAAAACATATTGTATTTTCTTACATATTATGGACCTATATTTTTCTTGTCGATTAATGTAGGATATAGGGCAAATCTAGCAACTGTAACACACTTTTTATTAAAGTGCTTGATATAAATAAATTGAAATTCATCAGGCCCAATGTTGGCTGCCCTGCGATCGTTCAGTAATGTCGGTCAAGGGGATTTCTTAAATAAAGAAATAGATACACATAATTACCTTCTTTTGGTGTTAAATACTTGAACATTTAGAAAATTTAGAAATAATTTATGCCCTCTTAGATTAATAAATACAGCGAAATCTAAATTTAGACGCTAGTGCTATTTTCAAAGTGAACAAAATGTAACCGAAAATCCAGCTCAGTGAATCACGACCAATTAAATTTAATAATATCAAACAGATTATCATTCAAGAAAACTTTTTGAAAACCTCCACGCACATTTGAGGAAGGTTAAAATCGTTGTTACTATCACATATGTTTATTGATGTTACTATCACAAATAATTAATCATTAATGTTACTATCCCAAAGGCTTATTAATGTTACTACCCCTTATTCTCATTGATATTACTATCACTAATGCTCGTTGGTGTTTGATAATTTGCCATAAGATTTCGCGAGAAATCCATCAATTTTTCACTAATTTTTCCCCAAGCTGGAATGTTCTATATAGGCAAACTCTTCTCTCGCTTTTCTCGGATTGCACAAAGTTCTAAGGAGAGGTTAGCGAGCACTTACAGTTTTCCAATATAATTCTGGAATCGTTTCGCCGCGCACGACTAATTCCTACAATCACTTTACGGTAAGTGAATGTAAATTTCCTTACAGACAAGTATTAAAGAAGATTCATTTTAGACTAGTATTAGAAATTTCGATCATTATTCATCGCTCGATTACGAATCACTTGAATTTCAGTTTCATTCAGACCGCCAATTTTTCCTAATCAACAAGCAAAACGTTAATTTTTCTCATTTCGATAGCACACTGCAATCCATATGCATTATAGTATTTTCTGAAAACCGAATGCGATCTCTAAAGAATATATTTAACGTTTCTTTCTTACCCAAGTTTTCCAGCATTGCGGTACGGGCTCACCATTAAATCAAACATCAACTATATTCTAAAAACTCGATGGCCTTTTCAAACGAATGAATGGAACGTTTTTTCGCCTGCATCTTTACGGTTCGCACTGTTGAAAATCCTGTCAATTCTCGTTACAAGTAACTTAATGAGATGTTCAAATTGCAAAGTCTACAGCACAGGTACCGCAACAACTACCATTGTTATGCAAAGAGTACGGTATTTTATTAGTATTTTAAACTGTAATTAAAAAGAGCTACACTTCACTGTGGCGTTCCCTCATGGCTCCAACAACCCTATGTACTGCACATTACATGGAACGGTCGAGTGAAAGAATTAATTGTCAAGTCGTAAATAACTTGCCTTTCTCCAGCATGACTTTCGGCACGCAAGACTTCCTAAAATGCCTGACACGGGCAATGTACTTCGAGCTGGCGTGATGCGGCCGCGGCACCAAATGTTAAGTCGTTGTATGGATCATTTCCACACCCGCGGATTGCGTAACGCTTGACGCATCCAACCAGCCGACCTTGTTGCGCTCAGTTGCAAGCGTAGGCAATTACTAAATTAGAGTTGGCGAGGAAACACACAATTTAAAATATTTATTGTCCGAATTGCAAGAACTCAAAATAATTTAAAAAGTTCAATTGCACATTTTATTTTTAATGAGAAAAAACTTCAACCCTTTTTTTTAATTCCCAACAATTAAATCGAGAGAAATGTAAACACAAACTATGTTATAAGAAATAATAAGTGACAGTTTATCCACGTAAATAAATGAAAATATATTTTGAGTGAAATTTTTACGAGCTTTAATCTAATTGGGTAAACTGGAATTAGTGAACTGTTTCAAGTATAGGGTTATTCTAAATGAGGGTCCCAATTTAATAAATTATGACTTATTCAAGCATAAATTCAAAATGAATCATTTATACACCAACAAAAAGAAAAAGATGCATCAACAAAAACAAAGATACACCAACAGAAAAGATATTTTTTACATATTAATATATATTCAATATGTCCCCCTTGTGCTGCATGGCAAACATTCAGACGGTAGCCAAACTCGCCCAACACACAAGAAAGCAAATATTCTGTTACGGAGTGCACCATAGCAGTGATACGGTTCTTCAGATCAACCAGAGCAAGTATTTCTTATGGGGTTACGTCAAGGAAGCTGTTTACGTCCCGCCTCTACCAGCAACTCTGGTTGATCTAAAGAACCGTATCACTGCTGCGGTTCTTCTTATCTTTCCATAGACGTATAAATTGTTCATTATACTTAAATAAAAACGAATTTATAAAATTGGCTCCATCATTTAGAAAAACCCTGTATAATTACCGCGTCTGTAGACCGAATATCAAAATACAATAAGTTTAGTTCTATCCAATAGTTGAGGCTTATTTCAAGCCAAGAATGCGGAGGTATTCCCGACCGATCGCCTAGCACACTTCACAACACACTTCACTATCACACTTTTTAGCTCACTTCACAACACACTTCACTATCACACTTTTTTAGCACACTTCACAACACACTTCACTATCACACTTTTTTAGCACACTTCACAACACACTTCACTATCACACTTTTTTAGCACACTTCACTACACACTTCACTATCACACTTTTTTAGCACACTTCACTACACACTTCACTATCACACTTTTTTAGCACACTTCACTATCACACTTTTTTAGCTCATTCACTATCACACTTCACAGCAATAATGTCAGTGACGCTGCAGTTCTCAAGACTGGCCAATAAAGCGCCGGTCGTTTCCTTGATTGAAGCTTCCCAAAATAAGCAACATGGACAAAAGAAGCCTGCAAGCTATTAATTTTTGAACGTAGTTTCATCACAAGCACAGCTTTTCGAGCCTCTGTGATGACTGCAGGCGATCTTGCAAGCATTGCACTGAAATTGAGGTCGACTGTTGTAGATGCCAGGGAGTCATATCCCAATAGGGCAGCTGTATAAAAGCTGAAATATATTTTCTGATCCAAGATAATCCATGCTTCGTCTGAAAATATTTTTTTCATTAATGTATACGTAGCAATAACATTTGGAAGCAGTTCAAGTTTTGCGTTTCTAATGTACTTCTTTCATCGTGTACACGACGGCGTAATCATTCTAGAAGATCGGACATTGTATTCATTCCTATTACATTTAATATTAATTTTGTTAACTTTGATACTTTAATATAATAAATAATGGATTATATCTGTTGTGGACGTGCCATTAAATAACCGTTATCTATTTACAATCCCTTTAATGGAAACACAAGTTTTGATAATACTGAATTGGCCAGTCATCGGCAATTTTGAAATGCATAAACAAAAGAAATTAAATTAATAAAATATGTATTGAAAATAAATAAATAAATAAATATTCATCAATAAAATGTGAAGAAAGGGAAGAAAAATGTTTGCAAAATATTTGGAAAATGAATGTAAAATGTATAATATATGTACGAGATATATATGGTAGCGAATTCCCAACGTATGGAAATTTTGTGATAAATCCTTGCTAATGCAGGTATAACTTCTAAAAATGTTCCCCACTATCGGAATGCTTGCAAAGCTGTAATAGCTGTAGGCGATATCTGGTCGTTGGAGAGCACGTAAAGTTTAACTATGATTTCCCTCATATCAAGACAGGCTTCTAACGAACCTACGAACTCATAAGCACTCAAACAAAATGCCATTAGTAAATTCAGTGAAAGAGTGAAAAAAATTGATGATCACTTGGCCGACATGGTTGAAAGTGCAAGTGTTAGGCCACATTGCATGCGTCAGCATAACTACACACCGGTCCATAAATTGCCTGCAAACTCTGAGGTTGGAGAACGAAATGTCATGCTTATCATAATTCACTCCAGGTCTTGAGCTCGTTCGACTTACAATAATATCATTCCAAAAAACATTTAGTTAATATTATAATTTTAATGAAATATTAGATGATCTAAGAAATTGCCTAAGCATTATAAGAATGAGGTTTTGTAACTTGGAGTTTTTTACCATGAAAATAATAAATGGTAAATGAAAAAAATTTCCAGGTTTCGTCGAAAAAAAAACTGAAATAATTTACGAAGAAAACTTTTAATTTCAGCAGCTTTCCTATCTTCGTCATTTGAAAGTTTTTAATAAAAAAATTAATAAAAGCATAACTAATATCAACATGAACGAGTAAGTAGCAAATTTTTTACAAAAACCTGCTGGAGAACATCTAAAAAAGGATCCATGACTTAAAATGATCTCGTCAAATAACTTTTACTTGGCGCACGTGTCTTCGATCGACCTTCACTTGGCCTGTCAAGCTCACCCAACTCGAGCCTTCAGTGCTCTTGTCAACGCCGGCTTCACGCGACCTTCACTTGGCCTGTCAAGCGCACCCAACTCGAGCCTTCAGTGCTCTTGTCAACGCCGGCTTCACTCGACCTTCACTTGGCCTGTCAAGCGCACCCAACTCGAGCCTTCAGTGCTCTTGTCAACGCCGGCTTCACTCGACCTTCACTTGGCCTGTCAAGCGCACACAACTCGAGCCTTCAGTGCTCTTGTCAACGCCGGCTTCACGCGACTTTCACTTGGCCTGTCAAGCGCACCCAACTCGAGCCTTCAGTGTTCTTGTCAACGCCGGCTTCACGCGACCTTCACTTGACTAAGCGGGCAACCTCCTTGTCATGTCGCGTGTCCAGGTCTCGTAGTTTAGTTTGGGAATCGAGATTAACTTGCAAAGTGCGAGAATCAACCTCTAAATGGGAAACAACGGAAATTAAAAAAATGTAAACTTAGATCAAGAAACTGTTTCAAAGAAGCTGCTTTATAATCAATAGAATGAAGCTATATGCCTATAGCTCATCAGGAAGAGGTTTCCAATCTACAGATCGTGATCACTGTGTACAAAAACTTGCATATTCGAGCCCTTTATGAAGCATCGAATAATCCGTTACATTATACGAAAAAGTCATTGAGATTTGATTCGGTCAATAATTAAGAGCCTAAAATATATATTTTTTAATCAACCGGCAAGTGCAGACAATTTGAGACAATTGAAACTTATGTATAGAACCCTGCTTCGCTCTAATTAGCTCTTCATAAATACCTAAATATTTTACTTTAGGATTGTAGGCGAACGCTTCCTAAAAACTCAGCGCATACTCGAGGAGACCGTGTCGAGCTGCCCGACCTGCGACGCCTCGGGAGAGCGGCCCGACCCGAGCTGGTACAGTTTTTATCGGGCCATGATTTGCAGGGTCATTCCGACGGTTACTCGCCCCTAAATTATTCTTATCGGGAATATTTCTGAGGTAATTTAATGACCTATTCTTTTCTGCCTGGACGGGCTATTGCAATATCGAATTCTTTCTCACAAATCCCTTACACAATTTTGTAGCAATTTATATATAATAAGGTACTCAGTACTTCGAACTCAATGATCTACAAGTTTGACATTTCATTTGAATCTTTTTCTTGCTTTCTTCCATCCATCATAGTTGCTGGCTTGTAATTAACGCTGTGTATGAGTGATATGCGGCTCAAGCTTTCGAACGCTAATGGTTTACAAGCCTCTGTGCAAGCATCAATGATGGCAGCTGTTCTTTTAATTTTTATAAATGAATCCATCATGCGACCAATTAACTTCTTATCGATAATTATACGAGGCAACGTAACTAACAAAACTTGTATTCTTGCTGTGCGCCACTGAAAAAAAAATCATACAACGATAATAACACCAATAATGTAATATATTTTGAAATTCATATTTTATTAATAATAAAATAACCAAACTACAGTAATAACATCACGACCGACGTGAAGCCAATGGGGTCTTGAATTCACTCGTGCGTGGTAACAGTCCAGTCTCTCCTTAGCGAGTTGGAGTTCGATTAGCAGCGTCATCTTTAGAGGGCCACTACGAGTTACGAATGCTGAAACTCATTGGTATGTTGTATATGTATGGCTAATCTGTCCCCGTGGACATATAAGCAACTTTTGCAACTAATGAAAAAGGGAGCGGAAAGTAAAGATTATTAACACTTAGTTGTAAAGTTTATGTATAGTTCGGGTGAAACGATTAAAGGAAATTTTTCGGCAAGGATATTAGGTTTTTTGACAGTTTTGTGGTTTACAAACATGAACGAAATACAATTTTGAACAGGAGATTTGATTGCAAGTTCATTTCTCATCTAACAAGAGATTTTATTGCAAGTTTACCTCCAATTTGCAGAAATTCTTACAAACTATCGCCTCATGTTGTTTAGAAACCGTTCAGCAATAAAAAAAACCTTACATTTTTTAACAGATGCTCGCCGCGAGAGCTTGAATGATGATCAGACAATTTATGTATTTTTCAATCTATAATTATCATCACAAGATTTTTAAGAAAAAAATACGATAAATCAAAAACCGGAGCGATTGGGGATCATAGCAGAGAAATTGTTCTACATCGTTCAACGGTCTTGATTATTGTAATGAAAGTGTGAAGTGATTGCTAGGTAAATGTTCAATTACCATCACAGTATGGGTTCAATTATTGGAATGTGTGAGCGTATAGTGTTTGATGCCGGGACTGCTTTCCATGCCTCAGCGAACATAATTATTGGAAAGTAAGAACGCAAAGTTTTTTGTAAGGGGAAAATTTTCCATCGCACACCTAACTGGAAAGATTGTCGGAATGATGTAATGTACGTAGCGTTCTCTTTACAGGGATCTATAATAGCTGGTAATGCCTGTGGACTTTTCATGGTATCTTGTTACTTTTATCTGTTATGAGACATGCTTCTCTTTCTCTTCAGCGTGACGTAACCCATTGACTTTGGTCACGGCTCAACGCACTGCAAGCTTGCAAGGGCCGCGCCTCGCATGGTATATGTCACAACGTTGTTGATCTTCAGAATATTGATTTACAAAAATTTATGGTTGACTCACGAATAGTTCTTCAACGACTTATTCCGTTGGTACGTTTGAAAATTCTTAAGATTCAAATACAAACTTGTTGTTTATACCTCCGAACAATAATGGAAATGTTTCGGTATTTGTTTCGCATAACTTTAAAATTCGTAAATCGATTTATCTCGTCAAAACTGTTTTTGTCCTGTAAATGTACCTTATAAATAAGACTTTTCATGCCTATAATATTTGGTTGGAAACTTCCTCTGCGAATGAGGGTTTTGGTGCTATATAAACTAAGAAACTTGTTATAAAATATAAAATCGAGATTTATATTTTGGTGATCGTAAATAAGATTACTCTTGGACCGCAACTTACGTTGTTGAATTGAAATAGCTAAACATATTTATGCATTAGCTAGTAGGAGATGACCTCACCCGGACTTTAAACGAAAGCCTTACAGAATATTTCGAAAGGCCTCTTTCTATTCAGAAATTACAATTTTTCTGCAAATATCTTTATCCTTCTTTATCCAGAACGAGAAAATCCGCAACACGTACAATATTATCACTTTGATATTGTTCAGTTATTCCTGTTAATGCCAGTTTGGTCACTGTGAGTGGCAATTTTGTCAAATTTATTTCGGTCCCTAAGACTTCAATATCCCCCAGGTAACAAGTACCCTGAGTTCGTTTATAAGGGCGCCAACCCAATGCCATGCTGAAAGCACCACCCTCGATGACTCCCAAGCGCCGCTTTTAGTGACACAGAAAAATGAAATGAGCTTACCAGGGCTCGAACGCACGGCCAGCTCCTCTTTCTTCAGTGTTACAACCACGGCGCTACAGTGGACTAATAACAGACCAAATAATGAAACTTTTTGACTCAGAGAAAATTCATCATTCAGAATAAATCTTCAAAAGGGTTAGAAAGAGAAACGCGTTATTCGAAAAATTTTATGCTGAAATTTTCTATGATATGCAGCACAAGTGAGTATCATGGCAACGAAAACATTTATAGTATACGGAAAACTGGGTGAATTCGACAAAATGTATTATTCAACAGTAACAGAAGCAACACTTATCTAGAAGTTATGAGAACATTAAAAATCGTAAATTGTGAGACTTAAATTCCTCGATGACTTAATAGTGGCCAGGTCCGTTCAAAACTATACTTTTCGAGGAAACGCCAAATCCAGGACTGGGTTTAAATCCACCGCTGACGAAGCCACCGCCGCTCTTGAATCCCCCACCGAAGCCAGCACCACCACCAAATCCTCCTCCACCGATGCCACCTTTTAAGCCTCCACTAAAGTCATCGTCGAATCCACCGCCGACATCCAAGCCCCCTTTAAGCCCTCCCCCGATTCCAGCCCCTACTTTTGATCCCCCTCCGAAACCGTATCCGCTGATAACGCCCTCTTCCTTTGAAATACCACCGTCATCAATGAAGCCTCCTCCAATATCACCACCCAAACCTTTCCCTCCTCCAAAGCCGACTCCAATATCACCACCCAAACCTTTACCTCCTCCAAAGCCTACTCCAATATCATCGTCCAAACCTTTCCCTGCACCAAAGTCGACTCCAATATCACCACCCAAACCTTTTCCTCCTGCAAAGCCAACTCCAATATCATCGCCCAGTCCCTTTCCTCCTCCTAAGCCTGCTCCAATATCACCACCCAAACCTTTTCCCCCAATAACTTCTTCTTCAACGATAACTTGCTTGCCGCCAAGGCCTGCGCCAAAACCAAGTCCTTTTCCTCCCAGGCCAACGCTTGCGCCGCCAAAACCTCCTCCAAATGAACTTCCGATGCCCCCGACGAAACCTCCATCATCAACGTAATCTACATCAACCACAGCACCCTTACCTCCTAAGCCAATACCTCCCCCAACACTTCCGAGACCAACACCGCTGCTTAGGCCCAATCCATGCCCTCCGAGACCAATACCAGAAGACAAACCAACGCCATCATCGACAAACTTGCCTCCCAAGCCAGCAGACTGAGCGAGTGCAGTTCTGAGATCAATTCCTCCGGGAAGAATAGGGTTATCACCTTCCTTGTAATTGACGAAGAACACTTCAGGCTGTTCGGGTATGTGTGGAACTTCGATAATCTTTTGCTTGTGTCCGTGAGGCTTCTTGCTAAGAAGGTAAACAAGAGTCTTCTGCTTAGGAGGAGGCACCACAATAGGCTTAATAGGATCGTCTTCAATTTGTGGAGAGCGGATGAAAACTAAGTTGAAGTGAACTTTGGGCTTGTGTTCAAAGTGAACTTTCTCATGATGGACTTTATAGCCGGGAGCCTTGTACAAGTAGACGTCCTGAGAAACTAGAGGCTCGACACAATCACCATGAAGAGTTCGCTCTAAACCTTTCCCGCAACTTTGCACGCGTCCTGCGAGATGTCCTAGTCCTTCAATACCACTGGATATGAAGCCATCAGCAACGCTTATTCCTTCACTGAGTCCACCGTGCACTCCATCGAAGCCCCCGAGGTCGTCACCGGTGAGGCCAAAACCACCCTCGTGGCCTAGGCCGATATCACCTCCGTGGCCTAGGCCGATACCTCCTCCGTGGCCCAGGCCGATACCGCCTCCATGGCCTAAGCCGATACCACTTCCATGGCCTAGGCCAATACCGCCTCCAAGGCCTAAGCCAAAACCGCCACCATGTCCTAGACCAATACCACTTCCAATGTGGCCACCAGAGAGTTTCGTTCCAATGAGCCTTCCACCGCTGAGTCCTCCACCGTGACCCAAACCAAATCCAAGTTTCCCTCCTCCGAGGCCGACTCCACCTCCCAATTTTCCTCCTCCAAGGCCGATTCCACCTCCCAATTTTCCTCCTCCAAGGCCGATTCCACCTCCCAATTTTCCTCCTCCGAAGCCAATTCCACCTCCAAGTTTCCCCCCTCCGAGGCCGGCGTCTCCAAATCCTTGAGCGAGGCCCACCCCTCCTAATCCACCAAAAGCTCCTCCGCCGTGAGCGAAGCTGGTGGAGACAACTCCTCCAAGTCCAGTTTTGTGTTCCCAAGAATCGCCGGCCACGATGCCGGAAACGGCAAGCACGCTCAGTAGCTGTACATAATGTCAGAAAAAAACAATTACTAAAATAAATTAATATTCCAATTAGTAGCATTAAAAGCTTTTAACTTGAAATAATTCAGTTATTTCGAATAATGAAAATGAAATATCGAATAACCTTATTCTGCTTTAATATCATTAAGTAAAATTCAAAGGCACAGTTCGTCCACTCATCAGTTAGAATTCCCAGGACCGCAGAGCAGAGGCAAATATAATGTGCGTCATTCCTATTCACAATAACTGGTAAATCGGGTAAAAGCAAAACGAACATAAATTTACACAATAAAACATGAAATCGTCCTAAATTTTCCACGTTAATACAAGGCACATTGATTCAAGAGGATTTCCAAAATTACTGGATTTAGCTAATTTCCCTAGCATGTTTTCGAATGAGCTGATATAGTTAACACCACCAAGCCATGTGTGAGAAGAGTTTGAGTGTCACACAGCCCACGAACCGCGGCCACACTCACCCGCGTGAACATGTCGAGAGCGTGTCGTTTGTCGAGTGCTTTCGCCGGTGCTGGCACCCGCGCTTTTATACTCAACCTGACCTGAAATTGTTGCCCCACCTCTCTGTGCAAAGGTCGGGCTGGCGGAGTTCGAGGGTAAAATTCTTCCTGTCAATCCTGCTGAAATTATCTCGCTATAACCCGCCTGCCTAGCGATGACTGTGCACTTTTACCGAACGTATTCAACTTCGCTAACCTTCACCCGAAATTTCCAGTTTGGTTGCAATTCTTGTGATGAACTACGACCATTGAAGGTCGGCCGGATATGTATGAAGAATGGATTATGACACATAATGACTATTTCTTAAGTTTAAAGGTTATTTAAAAAGCTAAAGGTTATTTATTTACAGTTTTAAAAATACATGTTAGTTATAAAGTTATGGCCTAGCGACAGGCTTAACCGAGTTAACAACCTGCGTCGTGATACACCTACAAAAAATGCCTCATTGATGTCATAATCGAGGAACTTTTCCCCAAAAATTTGTACTGAAGATAAATTATGGAAAACTCTATCGAAATTCGCTTATGTTATTCGAAGTCATATAGCAGCTCCAAAGTAACCGTGACTTCTGAACCGTCTTTGCCAGAGGGAATGTGACACCGTTCCTGTTATATTGTTTTATGGGTGATACCGTGTGCACTACAGCTGCTGCTGGTGCAATGACTGTGAGAACCTAATCACACTGCAATGAGAGAATATTATGTGGTTTTTGACCAGTGATATACTGTGACAGGTGCGGCTCTTTCTCCCAATTTGTGATGACATGTACTTAGCCTTGTTAGGTATATTTGTCATCATAACACTCACAACCAAATACGTATAATACGTATTTCTGAAATGCCACATTCATGGAATATCTGTTTTATAGAACTGAATGAACACCACGACTTTCAATAGACATTTGAACGGTTAGCATTGATGCTGGATCGACGTTCAACAGTCTTTCCAACCCATAAGTGTTCAACACGTTCGAGTCTATGTATATGAAGTTTGTTTCAGTGAACTCATCTTCAAAGAAGTTGACTTAAGCCGTGAACTTGTGTTTAAAGTGGTATTTCATTCCTTGTAATTGTTATTTTTCAAGTTAATATTTATGCAGACATATGATGAAATTTGTTCTTGGGTCAAGTAATACATGGACCTATTCTCTGTGTCATTCGTCCCATCGTCATTAGTTTTAAACAAGTCATTTTCAAACTACAAAAGATTTGCTGCAATGATTTGAAGCCGAATTCCGAGTCAAAAATAAATAATTAAATTTATCAATCCATTAATCCATTCGTCATTTATGGTTGTTACTACATATAACTTATACAATACATTACAAAGTTGCCGTAACGCAATAAGTTTAAAATTATTTTGTTATTTAACCAATATGGGAAGTTATACAATTCAGGCAGATATTGTCCTATTAAGAATACATGTCTTGTAAAACGCGATTTTTAACATTATAATTAACGCAGTCAATTCCGAACACCTCCTCGTCAACTTCAATCAACGTGTTGAGGTCGAGTATTTAATTATTTAACCAATTCATTTGATTCGTTCATTGCAGCGAAGAGCAAAAGATCGAGCTTTGAACCGAGCAGTCTAATTGTTTCACTAGAGGGGCCCATGACGATTTGCTTCATGGTAATCGTAATAAGTCCAATTAATTGCCTATAATTACGACAATGCGCACCGCAAAAATAAGGTCACATTTAATAAACTGGTTGCTTCTCAGAATTATTTTATGACGAAACTTCTTAATAAAATGGCAGTCATCGTTCGCTAAGAATTAAGCAACCTAGAGGAATGAACTAAAATATCAGGTAAGGATGATTGTGAAATTAATATGTATGGAAATAAATGAACGCACGACATGGGGCAGTGCTGTAACCATTGACCTTGTCAAACTATCAATTATGGTCTCCGATTAAAGATAATTCGTGACATTATAGAAAAATGTAATTTGAATATATAAAACACTAAAATAGGAAGCTCATCGCTCTAGATAAATTTTCATTTTATTCTGATTCCGTTACAAAATTTTAAAACAAAAATAATTTCCTCGAAAATATTTCCTCAACTAGATGTGAACAAGTTCGAAATGTTGTAGAATAAATCATCGGATGAACTGCAACGCATGGATTATCTGCTTTAATGAGTGGTCGCCGCAGTCAATTATTAAGGACTCATTAATACTTCCTTGACCTGAGATCCTTAACTGATACAAAAATGCACTATTGGCATCGGGATTTTAGTTATTTAATTTTCTTCCGTAATTATCCATGTTTCTTTGCATTTTTTATTATTGTCTTATTTTTCTTAACGGAATGAAAAATTCCTGGATTAAATTATCTCTTCTTCTCGATGGAGGAAACTTAGACAGAAGCACATGACATCCTGAAGCTGAGCCACACATCCTTTACTAGCAGGCAATAGATGCGTCTTGAGCTTTAGATTAACATTCGTGCAATGAGCATGTTGGTTTTTCATCAATTTTTCGCTAATTGAAAAGAATTATGGTCCGTGAGTAAAATTTTGTTGCTGCTTGGCTTTATTTAAACATTATTTGCCCTAAAATACGCTCTAACACAAGTTCCGGCTAGTTTTGGCTCAAGATGGGTCATGGACAACGTATAAAAATTCTCATGACATGAAAGTGCCACATCACATTTAGCAAATATTGTATTGATAGAGCAAAAATTACATCATTCATAGCCCCACACCGGCCAAATGATGATTTGCTTTTAATATTCTAAGCTACTTACAATGATCATGATAATCACTACGCACATAATGATCGGGGATCGCAGCAATGGTCGACTACAGTTTTGGGGCAAGGCTGACAAAAACCGACGGTGCGGGCAGTTGCGTAACTGGTGTAGTCGGGGTCGAGCAGTTTTTATGTGCATCTTATAAGCTAACTCATTGCATGACTCTGCAGGCAATAACGAGCCATGCACCGCTCCCAAAATAATTGTCAGGCATCACGAAGCAACGCGTTCAAAGGAGACTGGTTCTGTCCCCCAATCGGAAAGTCGATGAGATTTTGCAATTTTACCTGTGTTCCGTCAGCCGGTACATTAAAAAAACGTTCAATTGGAGTGCATTAATATGATTTGTTCAGTATGATTATAATTTTTTACTATATGCTATGGAGGATCTATTGATGATTCATAAATATGAGCAATTTTAATTGATTCCACCGAAATTGTAATCATTGTGCAATTTTCCCCACGTTTTTGATGTATCAACTATATCTGCCATATTTTTCATTAGGTTGAATCAACATGTATGATATCTCAATGATGAGAGCTACGTATGAAAACAATAATAATTTAGAACATAATGTACGATCAGTTCAAAGTGTACTCCTTGTGCGACTGTTGAGTTTTTTAACTTTAAACAAATTCAATATTGCATGATGAAGTCGATCATTTTATTAACTCGCTCACTACAGCAAGGCACTTACAAAGACTTGTAACTGCGTCTAGTTCCAATGTCACCTGCTAACATGCAAAATTACTTTCATCGGAATCAAAGTAACATCAAGAAAGTCTCTTAATAGTATATGTACTTCCTCCGTGGTAATATTTCTTCCCGTGATTCACCATAAAAATATAACCACGTGTTCAAATAAAAATACCTTCTGAATGGTTAACTTATTTTGGTTCAATGTTCATGTTGCTTACGCTAGTTGCACGGGCTTCTGAAGAATAACTCAGTACTCATTCTTTTGCAACGAATTTGAATTATCTAGTTCGAAATTTCCAGGATGCAGAAAAAATAATTGATATAAATATTTATCAAGAACTTCAGTATACGCGAAAACAGTAGTAGTTATTTATCGTTCGTGTCGTCGACTATCGGGCCGATTGTTCACCGTATTTCTGGAAGTGTCGAGTCAGCGATCTCTGACATTTGCCCCGGGAACGGGTTTTGGTTTGTATGTGACGGCTTCCTTTGGCTTCAAGGACGCGATACTGTGGCTGATAAGATTTCTTATATCGCAAAATTCCCTTTCGATTAATTGTGACCGAAGATCTATTTTCTTCAACAACGAACTACAAATCGTAAGCATGAGCTAGCAATATTATTGTGTCGCTCCAAGACGCTGCGGGCTGCATCGCGTTGATGTGAGGCTATCACTTTCACTGATGCAAATTAAACCTAAACTGGAGCGAATTAACGGCATGATGGAAACTTGCTAACGCTGTTTGTAGAAGCATCCTTATAGAATATATATGTTGTTACTCTCATTCCAATTACTTGTTTCAGCTTGCACCGGCAAACAAATGTAAAAAGTAAATGTGCTTGTTCGAAGTGCTTGTAATTTTGTTGCCAGTGGCATCATGTGAGTATAATTGAATATTTAGCTTTCATGCAAGTGGGCGGGACAAGACAAAAGCAGCTGGCCGTTGAATTGACTTTCAGTACACGCTTCTCATTCCTTCCGCAAAAGGACAAGTTTTTTGAGCCGGATTGTTCACGTTCCCTGGCCACACATTATATCCTCTCCGAACTTCTAATTGGCGTTTGCTGTCGAGCCGTTTTTATTATAGTTATCATATTGCAGTTAGTCTATGTATTTCCTGCAGTATCTATGCCTTGCTTCGTTTCTTAGGGAACTCCAACAATCTGCTTTCAGTTAATTTAGAAACTTACAGTATGTCCGTATTGACACAGATTTACACGGCGATGTCGGACAGACTTTAAACCACTTACATTCAGAAATCCATCAATTTCTAAAGAAAAGTTACTAATACTATGCAAGCCAGAAATCATTCTTATCGATGTAAACAAAAGTTTCATTGTTTTTAAAAGAATCTTTTCCGATATCTTTTGTTACACGAAGCAATGATTGCCAGTTGTCTAGTTCGAAGTTGATTGGACTTATGCAATAACGTCTTATTGTTATATGATCACATTTTTTTCAACTCTGTATTTTTCAGCATAAACTTTTTAAATTGATAGATTCATTTTAGATTAAAATCAAATATGGTCTATAAACATTATTTGC